AGAGCACCCCTCGGCAGCAGCGCGGCACCTCGCGCACCCGTGACTCGCATACCAAGAGGGCTGCTGGCTTTGTGGGCTTCTGAAAGCCTCTCTTTTAATTGCGCGGCACTTTGCTCGTAGCCATAGCGTGCGTGTGGTCAATAGCGCGTTGGGCAGCCGGCCAGCAACGCGATGCCCTTCCAGTCTTCCTGCAAGTGTTAAAAGCACTTTTTAGAAAATTAAAATATTAACTAGCCTCCGCGAAAACGGCATTGGATCAACTAGCGTAGACCAAGTTAAGGGTGAATAATGTTCCACGCTGCGATCTGAACAACTTCAGTGCAAACATAAATAAAATACAATGGTGCCAAAACATGGGTGTTTTCCAGAAACAAAACAACCGTTGTTAACTCTGGCTGCAAAGACCTGTAGCACTACAATCATAGTTAAAAGTGCAGAACGTCTGTTACAGTCACCTCTGTTTCATACACAGGTTTTAATTATACAGCAATGTAGTATTTTAGCATCTTCCAGTAAATGCAGACATTTGAAAGTATTTATGAATTTAAAGTAAAGGAAGCCTTTTACTTCCAAGGTTCATTAAAAACTGCCTGATGAAGTTTAACTTCATTCGTTTTGTCTACCTGCTGCTAAATCAGAAGAGACCTTAGGAAATCTAGTGATGGATGACGTGATGAAATTAGTAAAATGTGCATGAAATACAGACCGAACAACTGATGTATGGATTACCTAGGAGTGGATCAGCATTCCGCCACAAGCAGCAGTAATTTAGGCTTCTAGGCTCAGCCTCAAGGGCACTTCTATCCAAAGCATAAATTGCTGAAGACCAGGCACCAAACACACTAACTCAAATGTCATCTTGTGACCACAGAATGACTCCACGTGGGGATACAAAACTTTTATCAATAGTACGTTAAGATGCTAACGCAAACACAACTGTGTGTATTGGAGGTAAAAACCTTGCAACTTTGATTCAAAAGATGAGATGGTGACTCTCCTTTTCCTTCGTGTATTTCTATATGAAACTTTGTTTAAAGTGAGCATTTATGTTTCAGCAATGTGTATGTATGTGTAAAGTGCCATGTATTCAGCCACAACAGCCTATTCCCAGATGCTAACAACAGGAAAAACAAGTCTGTACGTAATTAGTGCAATGCATAAACCCCCTTATTTTTAGGTAGCTGTAAAATTTCCAGTTACTTAAGTAGTTCTCTAATACATTGCCAAACTTCCCTTTACTAGGGGTAACCATAATACATTCCAGATAAATAAAAATACAGTTAACACAATCCTACATCTTTTCCTTAGGCAAAACATTCTTTGATTTAACTTCCGATATTGACACATGCAGAATAAGAAAGAATGAAATCTACTGTGAGCCTACAGCCATGGCACATTCTCCTTGAACCCTGCACTCGCTCTCATGCTGCAGAGGGTGAAAAGGATGCAGTCCCAGTACTCTGGTCTAATATAAGGCAGAAAGAGTCACTATTTGAGTCTACTTTTATTCTACGAGCTAATTTTATTCCATGGTTAAAGAATTCTAGATGGACCCATTGAAATTCTTAAAGTTTCTGTGAGGTCTATTAAGTGAAATGATGTTTTGGTTACTTCATTATGACAGATGTTTTAAGTTTCATGGAATCTTCCCTTTTCACCTCCAATGTTACTTTTAATTAATTATTTTACTATTGGCCTTTTGTTTGTAATTAAAGAGAGTTTGCTTTAAATAGCTAAATGTAGCTCAGTGATACAGTTAGCTGATTTGCCCTTCCTTGAAATGCAAAAACACACAATGAAAACCTTGAAATTTCAACTGTCATTGTTTATTACTGTTTTGGCTACATTCTCTACAATTTCAGCAGCATCTTAAAGAGACAGTTAATGTTTCTTTATATACAATGAAAACAAAATGGCTTGCAACATCAGAAACAAGAGCAACAGTTTAACTGTACAATACTAAATGAAAACCTGTGGTAATACAGCCTCCTTTTTCTGCAACATGGACAAAATTACATATAGGTACTCAGCATCAAGAATGGGATAGTAAAAAGAATAGTGAATGGGAGCGAGAGATACACTGTTCTGAAAAATAAGTTTCTACCATACAAGGCAGTTAGAAAATGTTTCACATTTTAAAATATCTGTACAAGCCACAAGAAACATTTCCTTGTTGATAGGAACTCCCAGAAATAGAGAATAACCATGAGCAACTTCTACATCTAGTATCAATGCGCTCTGCAGGTTGAGAACGCAATAAACTGACTTAAAGAACTGTACTGTATATTGCCAACACAAATCTGTTTTACATGCCTTGATTGTTAATGAATTACCTACTCTTAATCTCTCTATAACGTACAGTTGACTTGCACCTTAAGGAGGTCATCATTTGATTCTTTTGCAAAAGTAAAAGCAACGTCATTTAGCAGCAATTAAAAGCGCCTTGAGGGAGACTTAAAAAAAATACAATATCCAATTAGAAAAAGCCATACTTTAAACATTTGTACAGGAATAAGTTGCTGAAATTTAACTGAAAATGTGACATCTGTACAACAATTTACAATAGAGCTAGAAGGGAATTTATCATTATTCCTGCATAGAACATTATACATGACCTGTTTGCATTTGGTTTCATACTGTTGCTTGCTTTTATCAGAAGCCTGGAAAGTTTCACAAGTTTCAATACGACAGCAAGTATAGTATTTTTAGAAAATTGAGCTGATTTCAAAATTAGCAATCTATTTGAGAAATAAGTACCAGGAATTCCATATCACCCTTCCAATCTAAATTCAGTGAAACACCACCACATTTTTGGAGGTACAAGCCTGAGTTGCCAAAAAAAAAATACTACAATTTTATCTGAGGAATCTGATACAGAACATATCTTTGACTGTCTCACACTCCTTACTTTGGTTTCAAAAGATCAATGTCTTGGAAAGATGGCAGTTTGTTTAGTTTATAACCAGGCACGGAATTTTTCCTGTGTTTTCAAATTTGCTCGCTACCCTTTTTTATTTAAATAATGAAAAACTACCCTTCATGTTAGAACTTTCCAGTATCAACCAAATGTACTTTAAGTATTAAAAAGATTATTTACAATGTTCCCCAGAAAAAACTAAAAACCTTTTCTTCAGTCTTAAACACAGTATACCTGTTAGTGTGTAACAGGCAGCGTCATCCTTCAATGTTTAAAGGTATTTCTCAGAAGGGTACATTTATTCACAGTCCATGATCCATTCCAATCATACAAATGACACTATGTAGAAGGACTTCAGTCTGAAAACACAGTTATCAAACTTGTCCTGTGTAAAAACACTCAAATGCTTTCAAGCTCAAGTCTGCATCTGGAAACTACACAAAGGTATCATGCCATTCCTCGGTCGGAGAAATTTCAGTACGAAATAATGCTTGAAGTAGGTGGTGTAGGGGATGCTGCTAGCCCAGTCATATGCAAGTTTCCTGAAGAATTTGATCTCCTCATATGAGGGAGAAGATAAGGATCATTAGCCAGCTGGTGGACATCAAATCTATCCTCTTTTCGGTATGCTAAACAGCGTCTGATAAAGGCCTAGAAAAGAAATGTTAAAAGTTACAATGCCATTCCAAATAATTACATCTGCTTACAAGCAAATATGCATGTGCTCCTGGATAAACTAGGTTCTAAACAAATTCTTGTTCTTAGGCAATTCAATTCAAATGACAGTTTAACATTTTACTACCGAGTCCAATGAAAAAATGTAACGTCACAGCAGAAAAAAAAAAATCAGCACATTAATTGGCTTCAAATAATCACACTTCAAATATGTATTTCCATGTTTAGGAACTATATTTACAAGTAAAACATTAGCATCTCACACAATTAGAATTCTGCATGTGTTACCCCTGAAGCTTAGCAAAAACCAGAAGCAAATGTCAGAGGACTGAAAAAGTAGAAAGGAGGTCCACGGAGCTTCTAAAACCATGCAGCTGTGCGGTAGATGAAGAGTAGATGGAAGATGCAGGGACAGAATTTCAACACTTTAGTTGACCTTTGAAAGCAAGCGTTACCACATGTGCCATGACGGAATAGAGCAAAACGTGAAATTTGACTATGGTGGTTGTCATGTTCAACAGGCATTAAATAATAGGCTATTGAAGAAACCGCTACCTAGCTGGAACTCCTTTCCCAGAAAAAAACTCAATCCCATCTGCGTAAAAATATCTATCAATTGAAAAATTCTGTAGCTAGCTTCAGGACTGTTCTTGAGATACTATGTTTTCCTGCATTTAGGTCCATACAATGTATGCCAATCATTTTGTGCTGAAAGTTTCTGTCAAGTTTTATGTCCAGCATACACAGAACATTTGGTCTCCTGAGAGCTTGGACTTCAACATTTAATGATAGAAAATCCTTATTATTGCTACAGAACTGATTAGCACATCATTACTTAATTTAGAACTTAATTTAGAAGAATTACATATCTTTTCTTTGATAAGTCTGTTCAGCTGTTTGTTCTGTGCTACAATTAAAAACTGGAGAGTAAAGGAAAAAAAATCTGATACAAGTTCCAAAGAATCCTGCTAGAATTTACTTCTATCGTTTACATATCCAGCATGAACAAGGTACCAAACAAAAATCATGCACATCTGTTAACACATATTCACATGTTCTCAGACATTATGGATTTTAATCAAATTCTTCACAATAAATCCTTCATAACAAATGAATTGTTAAGAGTTTTTTTGCAAGATCCTCAGAGTAACAGTTTGTGTCTAAGATGTTTGTAAAATACTTCATGCTTCTGTGGCACTGCAGACACATTACTGCGATGCAAAGAAGAACACTGTACAAAATAGGAAACAGTGAGGAGGATCAAAGGACAGTTACAGTCTGAAAACTACCAAACAATGTCATTTCAGGTTCCATATTTGTTTCATCTCCATGTTTTCCAAATCAGAATTTCAGTTTACAAGCTGTTCTTTTCCAACTGCCAGGCCTATAAATCTGAAAGACAATTTGGATTCTACACAGTCATCATAAATGGTCTGAATTTACAAGTTAGTCTGAAATTGTTTTATAGCATTTCCACCAGAGAATAATTTCTCCCTCTCTCTTACAGCTATCGTGACAATGTTAATAAGAGTGGAGAACACTGAAAGTTTATTTTAGTCTTTCAAACAAACAAACAGAGCATGGAATACACAGAGAATGAAAATAAGCTGCCAATTCTCCATACTGAACTGTCTACTCTTTCCCGACATCCTCTATATAAAAACTACTAACGACAAAGAAGCGCAAAGTTAAAAGACAGGGATATAAACTGTTAACATGTAATGTTATCAGTTATATGATGCATATTTGTCAACTGCATTCAAGGGACACAATTTTTCCAAATGGGGGTGAAAAAACCAAAAACAGCAACAAAACCCTCAACAAAACAAAAAAACCCAGGACAAAGTACAATTCTTCAACCGAATTTTCATAACCTTAACTGCAACTCACTAATACTACTTTTAGAAACTATAACCAATGGAAATACACCACAAATTGTAACAGCAGTACCCAGAAGACTTATTTTCTTGGGAAGTTACAGCCTCTAGAAATAGGTTTCCTTTCCTTTTAATCTTTAGAAGCTAAATCCTAACATTCCTAAATTTTTTGTAGCTTGTGTCCCAAATCTAAGTATGGTTAATTAGTTGCTGAAACTTGAATAGGTATTCTACTATCTTGGCATTTTTTAAAACGAGCACACCTCTACTGCATCTAGCCATGAATATATGTTTCAAAAATTGGGACAGTTTTACAAACAAGTAACACATACATCAAGTTTTCTTCCATATTCAGAATATGATTGTGTATCCAGAATTGGATTTCTGTTACGGATGCTGAGAGCAGCAATCATTTGGGAAACCACCTTAATCTGTTTCTGAATAGCTAGTCTGTGGAGATGAGTTTGATACTACAGATGTTTCAAAATAAGATTTTTAAATACAGGAAACACTGCCATCCACACCTTTGTGGCAGATCAACTATTCTGGCAGTCCGATTTCCTGAATCAGCATCAACATATCTTATAGATTCCTAACCTTAAGAATTTATGTTTCTAAACTCAGCTTTGAGTCAATACACGCCTACTATGACCTTTCAAGAAAGAAGTAGTATATAACACTTCAGGGAAGAGTGTTAGCAGGCATATCCTCCAGGTATTGGTAGTCAAATAGTTCTTCAAGCCAATAAGGCTGCAAAGAATAACATTCACTATTTTCAGAAAGACCTTGTTACTGTTACCAGAAGTATTTCACAAGAACTTCTAGTGAGACAGCCTGAGTGAGACACATAGGGTCCTCTGGGAAAAAGCAAAGCAGACAATTTTTGAGGCAGCCTACTTTAAAACCACTCACAAATTTCTGGAATATATATATATATATAGTCTCGCTTTGAAGTCCATGATTTTGAGAAGTCCCAGAATAAGTTTGCTTAAATAAAAACATCAAAATACTAGTCTTCCATTATGTTTAGTTACTACATCCCACAGCATTCTTAAGTTATCAGCAATTTTACAGCTGAATCCTTCATGATGAACTTTTTAACTGTTACTCAGAGATATACGAAAAGTTACCTTGGCTTCATTGCTTACAACAGGTTTGACAGGGAATTGAACTTCTGTGGCTTTTAATATTGTATTTTCTTGTAAGATATCTTGCTGTGATTGATTGTGGCCAAATGGCTGAAAAATAAGTACATTAATTTCTTCATGAGAGTTGTCCAACTACTTTGATTTCATAAATACTTATGCTACAGTAAGTTGTTGCAGTGTTAACACAAAATGCCAACCATTCTGTAAATAAAAAAGTTTCAGTCAAAATTTTCTACGTTTCTTGCAATATCAATGCACACCACCAAAAAGTAACACAAGGAATTTTCCACGTAGATTCACGTCTTTATGACTATAATTCACAGTCTACTGGAAACAGGCATTTACACTAAAACTCTTAAGATTTTCAAGCAACATTTTCCTTACCTTTCTACCGTAAAGGCATTGGAAAAAGATTACTCCAACTGACCATACGTCAACCTTATTAGAAATCTTTGGTGGCTCTTTGCCAACTACAAAGCACTCTGGAGGCAAGTACCTGGAAAACAAAACATGCATCTCAGTGTCTGCAAGTAGATGTATGGCATCACTAGAAGTTGCTCTAATATCAAATTACACAAACACTTCACACACACGTCTGATCTTTTGACAACTGTACAGTTGCCTTACAATCTGTATTCCAACACCTTGCATGGCCGTCAAAACTGACATTACAGTTTTTTGTCTAGTCAGTCAGTCAAATAGAAGATCTATTTAATACAAGCACAAATATTAACATTCTTTACCTGAATCACTAATTACCGCTTTTTTTTAAATTGGGATCCTAGGTTAAATATGAACCTCCTCCATCTACCAGAGCAAGAAAAGATGAAAGCCATATAGGGCATTTTACAGCAAGGCCTGGTTAGGAATCAAGGATAATGTAGATATGGCTTGAAGACCCTTTACCTAAGTTTTTAGTAAGAATGATGACATTAACCAGAGGGGTATATGCTAGACAAAGGTGACTGCTATTTCCATTCCTATAAAATGCAGGAAGCCATACTTAAAGAGCTGAAAGTTCAGGAAGCTCCTGTGCCATTGCTAAATTACAAAACTGATGAAATGGAACCGCCTTTAAAAAACAAACAAAACCTCCCAAACATATCAATATGGGTGCAGTTAAGTATTATTGACTGCAATATCTAAAATTGAAAAGGCATAAAAACTGTTAGAGCAACTACAGACCAGACATTCTTTCATCAACAGCATATAAGGCTTTAAAAGAAATTCTGAAGAAGTATTTGTGGAAATGGAAATAAGCAGAAAAATGAGATAAGAATGCAACACAAATATGAATTTCACACAGTTTCAAAAAATCTCTTCTGGAATACTCGTGTACAATTCTGATTACAACAATCAAGAAAAATGAGCCTAAAGTGATGCAAGTGCAAAGAAAGCTACTAACATGATCTGAAGAGTGGAGAGCCTACAATTCAGGAGAAAAAAAAATTGAAGGCTATAAAAACACCAAGGAGCAAGTACTAGGAAGGGAAACAAGCTACTTCAGGGAGGACAGTGTTGGCACAGGAACAAACAAGTATAAACTGGCCACAAATAAACACAGTTGGTAAATTAGAAGATTAAGTTTCTAATGATCAGAGAACTGAGGTTACAGAACACACTTCAAATCAGATTACTGGGGACAAAACACTAACTAAATTTAATACAAACGTCTGTAAGTTTACAAAGAGATTATGTGACCTAACTGCCTGGAAAGGCAGGTAACCAGACCCAGTGACTGAGGAAATCCCTTCCAGGACTATGCTGCTGACAGTTTGTGCAATCTGCTCTAAATAAACTCACCCCCCACCTCAAGCTCACTCAAGGTATTTCCCTCCTTAATGAAGATTCTGGGCTCAGAGAAAGCGTGAATTAGAAATGCAGCGATTCATCATGAACCTATAATGGTCACAGACCTTTTTTGATCTCCCAGTTTACAGCACCACTAGTGCCTGTGACATTTTAGATGAAATCCAAAGGCTAAAATTTTTTTACATATGTTCCTACAATGAAATACTTAAATTGGTGTTTAAATAGGTAAAGCATTAAAAAGAGTAACAAAAACCTAACACTTCTAAAACACTTCAACTTGAATAATTGTCTTTTCACAGCATGTGTGCATTGGCATTTATGCAAGAATATGTGCGTTTGCTTTTCTAAAACATCTGAAGGAAAATGCAAAAACTTTATTATGTGCAACTTCCGAATATGGGGAAAGTTGCAGAGCAAATGGGAATGACACTGGCTTCTCTGTTTAGTTAGGCAGAATGAGAAGAGAAAGAGCAAATGAATTCGTAATAACCTGGCCAATATAGGCTTTCTATTCCACCCACTCTGACACAGCTACCATGCACCCAGGCTCAAAGAGCTACTGTGCCATGAAGAAGCTGCATCTTTAGAGAGCAAATTCTAGAAACAGCTTTTCTGTAAGCAATGAAATGCCTATTGTCATTCCTGTTCTGTAGGCAGCTCTAAAACTTCAGGTTTTTGGACAAGCATGCAAGTGCACACAGAAAACAAATCACAGCTGCCGAGCTGTCATTAACCTTCAGGATGGAAGAGTAAATACTCTTTTGTCCTAAGGACATTACCTGCTGGTAATCCCTGCTCTAAGATTTCCAAGGACTAAGCACCCACACTTAATCATCACAGCTCTGTCAAATGTCTTCAACCACCTACAGCCAAAGATTAAACACCTGCTTCTTCAGGGAAACCATGTTTCTAAATCATAGTGATCATCTCCACTTCTGTTTTTTATATATATATATAAATAAACAACACACACACACACTCTCTTATCTTACTTGTTATGTTACCATTGTAACATTTGGGAACATCAAAATTCACAGTACTGCACAAAAATCTTTGTCATCCATTTTAATATTTTTAATCCTAGCTCTCTCTCCAAATTGGCTTTATGAGAGAGCATTTATGAAATCTGAACGATGACCCAGAGTCTAAACAGCAAAATCAAACCAGGCATTACCAGTAAGTTCCTGCTCCCTGTGAAGTTAAATCCATTCCATCCACACCATAGCTATCATCATCCATTATTTTGGATAGGCCAAAATCGGTAATTTTTATTTCTCCACATGCTGTTCCATCTACAAGGAGGATATTACCTATCCGGGGGGGGAAAAAAAAAAAATCTCAGAAAAGCTAACAGAATGCGTTATTTTCAAAACCAGGTGCAATTTTCAGGAACATCTAACTTCATGAGGGGTGACAACCTTACATCATCTTTATATCCTTAAGTCTAGAGTAACTTCACTATGACACATTTCAGTGCAGTCTCAGGAACTCTCTAGGTTATCATCATCATCTGAAATAGCTCCCTCAGCTGGGAGCTGGCTGGACATCAAGGAAACACTGAAATGTGGTAAGGAAACACCAAAACATAGCAGTATACCAGTTACAACGAAGTTTCATATTTTTCTGCCCAGAACAAATCCTGCACTACAGGTTTCAGGGCTTGCATATGCCACAAAATTGTGCCAAGAAATTGCTGCAATACTGTCAATCCTACTCCATGTGTTAAAAGTTGTACAATAATTTCTTGATATAAAAGTTATCTGATGGAAGTTCCTCTGAGAACGAAAACTAATGAGACTAAGAATACATTCTGTACAATTCCATAATATGAGAGAAATCTAAATGAACAATTTATTACACAGCAGCAAGCCAACAGGCTGGCACTAAGAGTTACATTACAAACCCCACGCTTGGAAGCGTAGCAGATTAAAGTACACGAAGAATGCAAGCATCATTCATGCAAGGTGGTAAAATAAAGGCCATGAAATCAAGACAGAATACATAGTTTATGACAATGCTTATTATTCATTGTAGACAAAACTTTGGTAAAGTCCTGTTTTGAAGTGCTTATGCTGGGATGCTGAAAGTCATTGATTACCTATTTCAATCCTTTATAGGCTGAGAAATACATAAGGGAAAAAATTATTTGTACATCAGCATTCCACAATGATCAGACAGGATTGAGCCAGCTAGTGATCTTATCTGTTTATATTGTTAAATATCAATGTATGTATCTATGTGCTATATGATTTTTTCCTACAAATTCAAATCAAAATAATACAAAGTAGAAAAGTTATGACAAACATTTTTCCAAAGAAGAGACAGGTGATTTTGGCAATGAAACTTGAAAGAAAAGTACACACTTTTTTCAGTTGTTTACAATAAGCCTGACATACAGAAAATAAAGGATTTTAAAAAAAAAAAAAAAAAGACATTTTCAATTGTAACATTCCTCATTTACCTGGTTTAAGATCATAGTGTATAATAGGGGGCTTGATCTCATTGAGATACCGTAGTGCATTTACTATTTGCATTACAATGGACCTAGCTTCCTTCTCTGACATCAATTTATGTTGTTTGAGATAGAAATCCAAGTCATTGCCTTCACAGTATTCTAACACCGTGCAAAACCTAGGGTAGAATTCAGAGACACAAAATTAAATAATGTATCAAACTGCACAATCAGAAACGGAGATATGACAACCTAGTTTGATACTGGCAAGTTTAAGAATGGCTGCCTGAATATTAAACTATATGAATGAAATTGTTAATAGAACACATGACATAACTATTAGCTTATAAAAACTGACATCTATCAGAACATTCATACTCGCCAAAAGAGAAAATGCATCCATACTGACAAGAGGTTAAAAACCCCCTTATTTATGTAGGCACGTTTCTCAATAGAAAAATACATTCACTATCCCTTAAGACGTGACAGCATTTCATGCAAAGAGGTGCAGCCCAGTGACCATGGGCTACACTTAGGCTAGCAACGCTCCCTGATGTCGTTTAGTCTTGGAAGCTTGTCTAAGCTACAGCAGCCTTTTGGAGCTGCCCTGCAGCAGCCCTTGCTCTGCCCCAAAACATTACAGCACTGCATGTCCCTTTCACCCTCAGGACATCCTGTAGGGCTTGCTAGTCAGGTGTTGCAAAACACTGTTTTCATCACTTTATAGAAGGCCTGCAATACTTATCCGAGATAAAATTCTGCAACTAGTGTGGCGTGGGTTTTTTTGGTTTTTTTGTTTGGTTGTGGTTTCTTTTTTTTTTTTTAAGTCCCCTTAAGGAAACCCTAAACACTTTGGCTGAAAGCAAGAACATATTATTTCTGTTCAAATACTCTTAATTTCTGTTTATCTAATATACAGCACTAAAATCCTTGCCAAGTTCTAGAAAATGTATCATTTTATGTACTTACGTATCTGTATCCAGGGAGAAGTAGTCATATAGTTTAACTATCCGGGGGTGATCCAGTTCTTTGTGTATTCTATACTCTCTGCAGGCATGTCTAAAAGAAGATAGATACATTAACCTTCTACAATCAATAAAATGCTATTCAATTTAACATATGAAGCGTAAGCCATTAATATTTACTTGTGGTAGTTTTCTTTCTTCTCATCTCTCCAGCTTTTGTTAAGCTGGTGAATCTTCACAGCAGCATATCTTTGTTCATAAAGATCAAAAGCCTAAAAAAGAAACCCACAAATATGGAAAAATTATAACCAAAGATGATAAAAATAACACCCAATAAAGGGAGGAAAAAATTGGCATGTAATTCACAAGTCTATTGACAAGTCTATTGTAATGCCACCTCCCTCCATGGGTTAATCGAAGTTTGCTCAACCAGTGTTTAAAAAGTATACAACACTACAATCCTTTTGCTTATTTAGAACCCCTCCCTTCCCCCGAAAATGAAACGTACAGGTGTACATGGCTCAAACCTTGGATTTAGCAGACCCAACACACTCTACCTTGTATACTTCACTGAAGCCACCTCGGCCAAGTAAATGGAGTAACAAATACCGTTCATTCAATGTGGGGTGATCTTTAAATCTCGAAAGAAAAAAAAATTCATTTTAATTCTATTTAAGGTATACAAACAGAGTCTAAAATGAAAACCTCTTAGTATTACTTCTCAAATGAAGTTTTCTTTCTACTAGCAATATATAACATGCTGAACAATATTACACCATGTGTAACCTTATGGCACAACTATGCAACGTGGCCAATTTCAGTACCTTTTGACTAGTGTACAAATGCTATCACAACACCATCATCAAACCAGTCAATTCTGGCAAACTTTTTGTTATTTTTCACTATTTTTGTGAGATTAAGAAAAGTACCCTTAAATTTAAACACGTGATACAAGGGTTCTCTCTTTGTTGTGCCAATTTTTAGAGCTTCATCTTTCTGGAACAGACGAGGAGGATATTATTCCAATTTCACATGAAACATGACCAGACCTGCTGTATATACATGCCTCGTTTTAACAAAATGGATTTTATATAACACTAAGAAGTTAACAAATAACAAACAGCAATATGGGGAAAACACACCGAAGGACTGAATATCTGCTCATACTCTAATCAAAAGCAAGAAGAAAACATTCCTTCCAAACACAAAATGATGCTGCAGGACAGAGAAAAGGACCATACCCTCTCCTGAAATGTGCAGAAGACAAAATACATCCTTCCATCCAACCAGGGCAAAGGGAGGTGAATACTCATCACATTTCTAGTGCAATGATGAGACAACTATATTCATGAATCTAGGGCCAGCTGCCAATTACACTCCATAGAAAACTTTAAGGAAGGGTTTAGGGCCAGTCTGCCAATAGGTCATCCCATCCTTCCATGTTCTCTACAGTTTTGGAGGTGTGGTCATAGGTAGTCAAGTATTTGAGGGAAGATGCATGTTCTTGGTTACTGTGCCCCTTTTAAACAGAAAACTTTCATTTTCTTCAGTATGAAAATACATGTTTCAATGCTAAAGACATTTTTTAAAAAAAATCATTAATAATAAGTAATGCACTCAGTGTAGAAGAAATAACGAATTTAGAAATAGCATCAGTAGGCGATTGATGTCACATGACCCATAGCCCAATGCTTGAAAACTACACTCAACAAATTTAGATTCGTATTTTCTTGGTCCTTCTATTACATGTATGCCTCTAGTAGAGCCAATCTTGTGAACTTTACCACCCTCCCTCTCCACTGCTGCTGTTGCTACTCTGTGTAGCTCTCTGTGGCTCAGAATCTGCACCTTGCAGGTAGCCCTAGCATCACGTGGGCTCTAAACCCAGACAGGAAAGCCCTAACCCGCACTCTCAACTTGTCCTGTTATCCCAGTGCAGTTGAACACATGCAGACATATAAGTTTACCCATCTTTAAACTAGGCAGTATTTCCTACTCTTCATTGTCAAGGCTGGAACCTTGAACAGGTGAGTTTGCCGCCTGCTTCATATTTCGGATGCTTGGGGAGGGCATACATGGTTAGAGGGACATAGAGGGGAACTTTGCTAGAATAAGAAAGTGGGCTCAGCTTTGCACCACAGCTGGAAGCTGAAAACCCAACAGGATGAGTCAGAACCCAATAGCTGCTTCACTTCAGAACCCTCTCCCTTATCAAATGGCCAAGCTGCCAAGACGTATTAGGAAAGACAGCAGGGGCTACAGACCTAAATTACTTCTCCATTGCTTCTGTCTTCTATATTATGCATGTAAGCTGCAGCTTGGCCACTTGGTAAATACTCAAGTCTAAAGTCCCACAAAAACATGAACACACAGCGTAAAGCTTTTTGTTCTGTACCATAAAAATGTGTTGACACTGACTGCAGAAAATGAGCAGTGAAGCTGCAGTGGTCTGCTTGGCCATGTCCTGTAACTGTTTTCAACTGGGACTGTACTTTAGACAGTCTTTGCCCCATATATGCAATATTTACACAGTCAAAGCCTGTCATTTTTCTGTGGCATTTATTCCTTCTTGTTGAAGGATCCTTTAAAAAAAAAAAAACCCAAAACACCACAAAAACCTCTTCTAATGCAAACACTGAAGATTAAAAAAGGTTATCATTTAAGCTGCAAAGCACTGCTTGTTTATTTGTTGTAGGACATTTATTTTTTAAAAGAAAATATTCTGCCATCGAATTGTAAGCATTAACACCCATTATTTTTCATCTCCAAAACACAATACCAGTTTAGCTATCACTTAGCCCTACAGTCACATGGTAACAAAAATTTTCTGTATTCCTGCAGGGTAGGTATGGGGAACCATTAAAACAGTTAAGCACAATTTCACATCTTGTTGCTTTAATGGTTAAGTGTCTTAGCGTATATATAATTCTATTGTGTCTAACAAGTAAAAGATAAAATCCTGAAATCTTAAGGCTACTGTTTCATAAACATTTACTAGTGCAGAAAGAAAGCCCAGTCCCATTATCTCCTTCCCCCTGGCTGCGCATTCCACCCTTGCACTGCCCTCTCTCCTCAAGGCAGCATAAGCATTTTTGCAACTGGGGCAAAGAACTAGACTAGGAAATTGGATCTGGGGTTAAAATTAATCCAGAAAAAGAAACCACAGGAGCTGGTCTTAACTTGGATCAATTTCCAGCATCTGTTCAGTAAAGAAATGCCATTGCAAGCATGTGAAAGGAAACATGGCAAGGGCATAATGAAGCAGTCAGGGATAGGCAGAACCACTTCCGTTCAAGCAACAGAGCCAGCCTTAAAGTGCTGGTGAAACTGTAATGTTAGTGTTTGTATTTGCCATCATGGAAAACAGACTAATTTTTTTAGTTATGTAATTATTACTTTCAAATCTACATAATAATAGCTAATATTAAATAACAATTCAACATTATGATATATTGCCATGCAAGCTGAAGTAGAGAGTAACATTTAACATAATACAAAAGACTTTGCATTTGTCTTTTTCATACTAGGTACCTGTACCTAGTAGGAATGAAATTACAGTGCAATAAAACCAAAACTAATTTTAACTGCACCACAAAATTGCTGCTGATGCATCAAACCTCCCTGCCATTTTCTTGTATTATTGTCAGCTAAGTGAATGGCATTAAGTTCCCTTACAAGTATTGTTTTTAGCCTAGTAATATGGTCTAGCAAGTTTTAGCTCTCCTGCACTATAAGCTGTGTATGTATGTTATTTCTTGTATATTCAATAAAACCATTAGTAAGTTCACTAAATTATAAGTAATTCTATTTTTTTAAAGTTTAAATAAGTTGGTGTTTTTTTTATATATAT